TTTTTCGGTTTGGAAAAGATGTAATAATGGACCTCAAAATACTCTATAACTGATGCAAAGCTTATTAAAAAGCTTAAGGGTGAAGTTTGAATGCTTTTGAGCTCAGCCCAGAAAATATCCCTATAAGACTTATAAGCCATTGAAGCTTTCCTCGGGCAACTTATGGCGTGCATTGTGAAATAAAGGCCAACTACTATTGTTAGAAGAAAGACAATCGTTAGAGAGGCTACAAATTACATAGAGGTTAGTCTCCATTAGGTCTGTCATTTGTTTTATAGCACATTTTCCAAAGATAGATTAGGCTGTCAATACAACTACATTGCTTGTGCAAATAGGTATTTGCGCAGCAGACCCACTTCTACAAAATATGACCAAGATCGTTTGCCTCCGTTTACTCACCTTCGATATTTTTAACTATAAACCCCTCTAGGCCATGCTAAATTACATGCGCCAGGGTAGTTTTCCTCACACTTTATCTCTGAAACGAAGTCGGTGACCCTTAATTATTTTTGCATTTCTGACACAAGTAACTCATTATTTGACTGTAGTAAAAATTAAAAAAACAATCTATTGACTGGAAAATTTTCGCGTGAACATCCTTAATCTCGAAAGCTGTTATCGATCAATTAATTAATTAATTAATTTTGAATTTACTCGCGCGCGATTACTCCCTGAGTTATACTCCACTTGGTCCAATTACTATTACTAATTACTTTACGCACGAAACTTTCAGTAGCTGTTCATTAGTCTCGTTCAAAAAGTTTGCCAATGATGTTTTAACGGCGTCTGCTGTTACTCCACCATGTCACTCCACATTGCCATAGCAACCGCATTGAGGTATGCACTTCGAGCTAAGTTTCGTCTTTTGTAAGAGAATTCTTTGTATTTCCAGTTTTTATGAGCAGTGTTGCAGAATAAGAACTTTCTGCATTGCATCATCATTTTGGATTAATTTTCCATCACTTTACGCTATTTTCTGCCCTTCTGATAAAATCGTAAATTCCAAGATGGCGGATCCAAGATGGCGGATTTAATGACGCCTTGGCGT